GCAAGGGCTTGGCGCGGGGGGCGGGCGCGGAGTCGGAGAGGAACCTACCGCAGGGAGTGGGGGGCGGGGGAGGCTCGCCTTCCTCTGGAGGAGCCCCGCGGCTTGAGACATCCGTACGTTTTCTTGGGTGAAGCATGCGGGCACTTCTGGTCCGGGTAGCTCAGCTGATTATGTTCATGTTGCCACAGTGTGTCAGTGAGTTTTGCCTTTTCCTTTTCTTAGTTCCTTTAAAGGCAGTGCATTCTGTCGCGCTTGCCTGATAACGCGGAGGACGCGAGCTTTAGGAAACCGAAAAGATCTCTTTGGCGTCCTGTGATGACTTGTTCTCGAAACTAAAGGTACAAACGCTGGACGCAAATAATATTTCAGTCATCCGGATAGGACCTAGCTAAGCGTTGAACATCGACGCTGTTAAAAGGGCAGAGCAGGCCCCATTTTTGGGGCCTGAGCCACCAACTTTGTGGGACAGCCCAGGGGGCTTTTTAAAAAGGAGATCAGAAACAATCTGATCTCAAATATGGTAACTGAATTGAAGAAGTGAGGATAAACTTGGGTAGGGAGTAAATAAACTGACTGTGAAGGATATAAGGAAGTAGGGATTCCTTGGGCTAATGAGAGTTGTGTAAATAAGACTGCTTGGCATTAGGTCAAGTTTCATTAATTGGTTATAGCTTAGTGCTTGGAGGCCCAGATTATGGTGAATAGACCAGTTTCCTCACACACCCTGTCTCCATCCTCCAGGAAAATCTGTTCCAAGACCATACACTACATTACAAATCTTCAGAAATGCGCAAGGTGTTTAGGGTTAGAGAGTGGTTGTTTAAGGGTTCTAGCAGAAATCTATTGCTGTTACTAAACTATTCAAAATATCTGTCCAGTGATAGTGTATGAGTAGCAAAAAGGTAAATATAAGACAGTAAAAATTCATAGTTCACATTCAGTTATCACCTGATTCAGGTTTGGTAAAGACTCAATCCTTCATTTCAGATAAATAATACATTTACATGATTAGTATGTTTGTATTTTGTAAGAGAGAGAGAGAGAGAGAGAGAGAGAGAGAGACATGTATCCAGCCACATGAATCCGGCCTGCAAACCAGGAAGTTCTTATTTCTTTCTAATAAATTTTTTTCCACCTCCTCCTCCAGATAAATGTTTTTTGTAGTCCTATTAAAAGGCATTTGATTCAAAATCCATATTTGTGCACAGTTTTCCAAACGTTAGAGGGGGCAGGAATGTGTTTCAATGTTATTCTTACTTATTTTTTCCCCTTACTTATTCTCAAAAGGAGACTGAAAATAATTTACTTGCTTTCACTGGAAGAATGAATGTTAGGGAACCACCCTCCTGAACTCCATTTTGCTGTCGGCTCTGGATACAAGCCGTTTGAAAACGGGCACCTCCCTTCTAGCTCTGCAGAATATCAGAGCTTCCACTGCAGGGATTTGCTCTTGTGGGCCTATGTCTCCCCAGATGCCTTCCTAAAACTATTAGCTTTGCTAGCTTTGTTATCTGTATATTCTCCAGTTATGAATGAGGAAATATTTGAGGTTTGGGTTTTTTTTTTTTTTTTTTAGGTCCCTGACAACACCTCAGGTTTTAGTAGTTAAACTAAAAAAGACCTTTAAATATAATCTAGTCTGGTACTTTTTTGCCACAAAAACTTGAATGATGATAAATTAATTTATTTTGCCTTCTCTTTAGTGCCCCCAAAAAGGCTGACTCTGTTTCTTTTTAATCAGTACTAAACCTACATGGATCTATTTGTTTACATTATATTTTACATGTATGTGTGGGAGTTGTGTGTGTGTATGTGTGTGTACATTTCTTTCTTTCTTTCTTTCTTTCTTTATTTATTGAGTTGGAGTTTCACTCTGTCACTCAGTCTGGAGTACAGTGGCACCCTCAGGCCACTGCAGCCTTGACCTGCTGGATTCAGGTGATCCTTCCACCTCAGCCTTTCAAGTAACTGGAACTACAGGCACACCCCACCACGCCCGGCTAATTTTTTTGATTTATTGTAGAGATGAAATTTTGCCAAGTTACTCAGGCTGGTCTGAAACCCGTGGGCACAGGCAGTCCTCTCACCTCAGCCTCCCAAAGTGCTGGAATTATAGGCGTGAATCACTGCGCCCAGCCTATTTTTGTCTGTATTTAACAACAAAATAGTAGTTACCTATGTCTGGAGCATAAACACAGCATAAATACAGCATAAAGTAAGTATTATTTACTTTCCTAATTTTTTTGTTTTTTTGAGTCCGTCTCACTCTGTCTCCCAGGCTGGAGTGTAGTAGAATGCTCATGGCCACCTCAGTATCAGCCAGCTGGGCTCAGGCCATCCTTCCGCCTCAGCTTTCCAAGTAGCAGGAACTACAGGCTTGTGCTACCACACCCCGCTAATTTTTTGATATATTGTAGAAACGAGTTCTCACCAAGTTGCCCAGGCTGGTTTCAAACCCCTGGGCTCAGGCAATCCTCTCGCCTTGGCCTCCCAAAATGCTGGGATTACTGGTTTGAGCCACCACACCCAGACAGTCCTAATGTTTTCATTGATTATATAGACTTTTCTTTCCTTGGACACTTTCAGGCCTGAAACTGCTTTTAGTCTTTGGTGTAGTATGAAGCCCTTTGTTGTAATTTGAGCCACGCCCATCTTTGCTACATAATATCTCTGCCATTTGCTACTACTGTTCTAAGCAGTCAGTAACTGTTTTTGATAGTTTCTATATTGTGGTTTAAACACAAAAGCTCACAAACTATATTGTTCATTTCCTTGGTTCTAAGCAAAGGCAGAATATCAAATGGCAACAATTTACCAAATATGAACTGTTTATACTATTTGGTTGTTATTCTTATTTATCCCCATGTTATACATTTACACATACCATTTTGTGTTCTGCTTTTACTACAGATAAATGGTACAGGGGAAGAAAATTGGGTTTGATATCAATAAGAACAGCTTCAAGTCTAACTTTGTCAGTTAATAGTGTTATGACATTAGACCCTTAATTATCTATATTGAGCTTCATTTCTGAATGGGAATCTATATTAACTTGGAATCATCTTTTTCTCATACATTCAATACCATTAGTAAATTTTGTCAATTTTATCTTTAAAATATGCCCCCAATTTTCTGTCATACCACCTATTATTTCACAGCTCTTACAGAATCTGAAATAGCCTTACTTGTACATTTATTTTCTTGTTTAAAGTTTTTCCCTTTATGTAAACTCCATATCTGTTTTTGTGGAAGTCAATAATGGTTGTCCTACCAAAAACCTGTCCTTCCAAAAACCTTCCGTTCTTCCTTGTCAAAAGAAACACCCCTCTAGGCCCCCCACCAATATTTCAAAGGGTCATGTGCTCAGTCCCAGGGAACAAAGCGATGAACCTTGTTTCTCTTTGCCAGATACTCGCTTTCTCAGTCTCCTTCACAACTGGACCTGGTTCTAACCAATGGGACATCAAGGACAGTCATTTGGGGAGTTTCTGGGTATGGTTTTCCTCTCTGATAAAAACAGCTTGCTCCCTTGAGGAAAAACTCTTCTCCCTTGCTTTCTTCCTTTGGAAATGTCCTTTAAAAATATAATGCCTGGAGCCAACTTAAAACCTTGATGGTCTAATGCAAAGAAAATCATAGAAATGCCAACTCTGATATTGTTTAAATAAATAAGAGTCTGAGAAGGAATAATCCGAGAAGGGGAACTAGGGGTCTCACAATCCAATTAGAGAGGGGTTTTTTTTTTTAAATCTATTAGAGAGTTTTAAGAGACTACAGTGTCAAATGTCGCAGAGAGGTTAAGTAGGGTAAAGACTGGAAAGTGTTCATTGAATATAAAAAATATATAGCTTTTATTTATTTATTTATTTTTTAATTTTAAAATTTTTTAATTTTTTCTGACCCAGTCTTAAAGCCACCTATCTCCAGATTTTTTTTTTTTTTTTTTTTTTTGAGTTGAAGTCTCACGCTGTCACCCAGTCTGGAGTGCAGTGGCTGCTCCCAGCCACCGCAGCCTCGACCTGCTGGGCTCCGGCGATCCTTCCGCCTCAGCCTTCCAAGGAGCTGGAACTACAGGCGCGTGCTACCACTCCCGGCTAGTTTTTTTTTTAATTTATTGTAGAGATGAGGTCTCGCCAAGTTGCCCAGGCAGGTCTCGAACCCACGGGCTCAGGCAATCCACTCACCTCAGCCTCCCAAAGGCGCGGGATTACAGGCTGAGCCACCGAGCCCGGCTCAGATTTACTATTAAGGAAGCATTAAGTATCCTTATAATTCAGGCCAGTGTAGGTAGACTTTATCCTCAGTGCCTATTACAATACCTGGTACATGGTAGGAGCTTAATATATAATTTGTTGTTGAATATTGAACTCGGTGATTAATCGGACATGGGTTGTAAGGTAAAGTAAGGAAGAGAAGTTAGTTTGCAGGTTTAAATAACTGGGTTATTGGTGATGTTTTCCCCTGAGATCAGAATAGTGGGGAAAGAAGTAGGTGGGAAATGAGGAAGGGACACAGGAGAACTTAACATTTCAGCTTTTAACACATTCTGAGGTTTAAGTGTCTGTGGTACAAATACCTAAAGATATCTGTAAGGCAGACATACACACAGGTGTGGAGAAGGGAGAGAGATATAAATTTTGGAATCTTTAGCATAAAGACAGTAATTAAACCATAGGAGTAGATAAGACCACTCAGAAGGAACGTAATAGCGCTAGGAGATCGATGCCCTTAGTAGAAAACCTGAAGTAGAGAACCTAGTTTTAGTAGGGAATCCAAAGAATTGTCACATTTAAAGTAGAGAAAAATAGCCGGACTCGGTGGCTCAGCCTGTAATCCCAGAACTTTGGGAGGCTGAGGTGAGTGGATTGCCTGAGCCCGCGGGTTCGAGACCCACCTGGGCAACTTAGTGAGACCTCATCTCTACAATAAAATAAAAAATTATCTGGGCATGGTAGCGCACGCCTGTAGTTCCAGCTACTTGGAAGGCTGAGGCGGAAGGATCGCCTGGAGCTCAGCAGGTCAAGACTGTAGTGGCCAGGAGCGGCCACTGCACTCCAGTCTGGGTGACAGAGTGAGACTCCAACTCAAATGAAATAAAATAAAATAAAGTAGAGAAAAGGAGCTTATAATAGGAGCCTGAAGCTGGCACAATGGTTCATGCCTGTAATCCTAGCATTTTGGGAGGCTAATGTGGAAGGAACTCTTGAGCCCAGGAGATTGAGGGTATGGTAAGCTGTGATCATGCCACGGAACTCCAGCCTGGGCGGCAGAATGAAACTTTGTTTAAATAAATAAGAGTCTGAGAAGGAATAATCCGAGAAGGGGAACTAGGGGTCTCACAATCCAATTAGAAAGGGTTTTTTTTTTTTTTTAATCTATTAGAGAGTTTTAAGAGACTACAGTGTCAAATGTCACAGAGAGGTTAAGTAGGGTAAAGACTGGAAAGTGTTCATTGAATATAAAAAATATATAGCTTTTATTTATTTATTTATTTATTTAATTTTAAAATTTAAAAATTTTTTTTGAGCTGGAGTCTCACTCTATCGCCCAGACTGGAGTGCAGTGGCCACTCCCGGCCACCACAGCCTCAACCTGCTGGGTTCCTGCAATCCTTACGCCTCAGCCTTCCAAGTAGCTGGAATTACAGGCATGCGCTACCACGCCCGGCTGACTTTGTGATTTTATTGTAGAGATGAGGTCTCGCTGCCCAGGCGGGTCTCAAACCCGCAGGCTCAGGCAATCCACTCACCTCAGCCTCCCAAAGGCGTGGGATTACAGGCTGAGCCACCAAGCCCAGATAGCTTTTATTTTTATTTATTTATTGGACAAATATTGAGAGCATAGCATGGCAGGTACTTTTTATAAGTATTATGTAGTGGGGCGCGGTGGCTCATGCCTACTGATATAACAGTGATTAAAATAAGTCTGTCAAGTGCAGTGACATGCACCTGTAGTCCCAGCTACTTGGGAAGTTGTAGGAGGATTGCTTGAGTCCAGGAATTCTGAACTGTAGTGCTCTATGCCTATTGGGTGTCCAGCATCACTACAGTGATCTTCTGGGAGTGGGGTACCACCAGTTGCCTAACGAAGAGTGAACTGACTTGGTTGTAAACAGAGCAGGTCAAAACTCTCCTGCTAATCAGTAATGGGATCACACCTGTGAAGAGCTACTGCACTACAGCCTAGAAAACATAGCAGGACCCTGTCTCTAAGAAGAAAAAACTCCTTTCCCTTATGGAGTTTAGATTCTAGTGAAAGAGAGAGAACATGAAAATATAGCAAAGAGAGCCGGGCTCGGTGGCTCAGCCTGTAATCCCGCGCCTTTGGGAGGCTGAGGTGAGTGGATTGCCTGAGCCCGCGG